TTGCTGGTTTTGCTGATAGGAACACAGCTGCTAGTAGGAAAAATAAATAAATCCACAAGGGAAGAGGCTCTTGATTTCCATTTAACTGGAGTCTGGAATAGTAATTGTGGATTTGGACCAACTCTCTTACACTGGTGGACAATGGGACTCAGGTCACTGGATTTATCTGTTGGGATTTACCAAGTGTTTGGTCTTTTTTGTCCTTAAACGTCCTGGTGAAGCTGCTCCCAGCAGTTGCAGAGGGCATGAAACCAGATAGCAAAGAAGGTTACAATAATAATAACAACACCCTCTCTGTCTCATGGGCTGATCAAACATACAAGACTCAAGGGATCTCCTTGGTCAAAGTTCAGTTCCTCACACTTACAGTCAGCCCTGGGACAGAGGGCTAATTTAGAGTGTCTGGTTTATTCCTCATCAGTCACAAAATATCCAGTTACACACTGGAGAACTGCAGGGAAGATGTGAAAAGTCACAATCTTGAAAAAAAAAAAAAATAAAAAAGAGGAAATCAGTACTCTTGCCAGTGTCTGAAGGCATTCCCATGGCCGGGATATGCAGTAAATAATGTTCCCAGATTTTCACAAGGACTGGAGGGTGGCCTGAGACGGAGAGAAGTGATTAACACACTAACACTGGGATAGAATACATCTCGTCTCAGCTCTGTGGAAAGCTGCAAACTTGCAGAAAACAACAGAAACAGTGAAAAAAAAAAAAAAAACCAAACCAAAACCCAAACTAAATTCTCTGCCTCAGAGCCCGACAAATGGGTCACCTCTGCTGTAGGTCATTGCTCAGATCTGTGGCCAGCATGAAGCAATATCAGTGTGAGGTAACTGCAAAGCTGCTGCGTGGAATCCCAAATTCCTTTGTCCCAGATGCTGCAGGTCTTGCTGCTGCCTTGCCCTCTGAGGGGGGATCCTTTGTCACGGGGTTTCTTTGCAGTGTCCGACAGGAGACGGTGCCTGTTCTTAGAGACAACAGCCCAGCCTGCAGGTGCTGGTGGATGGATGAGGAGCACAGGGGTGGCTGAGGGTTGGAAGATGTGACTGTAACCACCTTTCAAGCACGGTCCCCTGGGATTTCTCCAAGGTCACGCGAGGAGTTTGTAGCAGAGCCAGGACCTACTCCCGGCGTGATGCCTGGAGAATAAAGGCTATCTTTCATCTAAATTAAACCTCCCCAACACACAATTTTTACAGGAGCTTCAGGGCCTCTGTCTAATCTATTCACACAGCATTCATCACCATGGCATCTAGGTGCCACTCTCCTCGTCTCTTAACCTTGCCAGAGTCTGTCATGAATATTCTGAGCATCTCTCCGGGTTTCCAAATGAGATGAACGCTTTGCTCTTCTACTTTCCTGATAAACAACCCATCCGTTGGAGCCTGAAAAATATATTTAAAAAAAAAAAGAAAAAGTGGGGGGGGGGGGGAGAAGTGGGGAAGATAAACCACCAAGAGGATGTCCAATTAGCAAATCTCACACTTTGGCACATTTTGGAGCTCCTTTCCCCATTAGAACTTGTGCACTATAACAACATGGCCTGTCACTGCACAGACTGCCAGCTGCATAAAATCAAGGCATCAGGCTTTTTTAATTGAATGCATAATGAGGTGACTGGCAGGTTTAATTAACAAAACTCATCCTGTGTATGCACCTGGAGGTGAAAATAAGTTTAATCAAGAGGAGTTGGCAAGTGCCAACAGCTCTGTCATGGGCTTCCCCCCCACCCCCCTCTTATTTTGGTTGGTCTCAGCCAGGCTTTATATTTGCAAAAATGGCTCTGGGTGCTGATTAATTATCTTTTGCCCAAGATTGATGAGTTGTTGCAGCCTGCCTGTAATGAGAACCACTGCTCCTGGAAAAGCTGCACTGGAAGCTTTAATAATCAGGCTGCCTTAGATAAACTACTCATGGCAAACATTCAAGGTGTCTGGACGTGGTCCTATTACAGCAACCCTTGGGGACCTAATCCTTGGGAGGAAAATGTATCTTTAAAATGTGTTGCCTGATCTTATTGCTAAGAGAAGATTCCTGGTGAGGAGGGGGGTGTGGAGCTTTCTCAGAAAGAGATTTCTCAGTCTCCTGATTGAGGCAGAAGCCATAAGGAATGTTCTTACTTAGACTGAATTATTTTTGGTTTGAAGTGGCAGTTGGACCACCTTTGGAGGGACCTCATGCTGGTTGAGAGTGGTAGCTAGAAGGTAAAAAATGCCCTCAGAAGGCAAGGCTAGAGGATATATCCCCTGAGTAAGCCCAGCCTGGGCCATCATCCCCTCCCTCCACAAGGCAGGACACCCACACTGTGTCCCACATCCACTTTGGCCCTGGGGAGCCCAAGCTACGAGTGCCAAGCTGGGGCTGCAGAGATGGAGCCCAGAGGTGACCATGGGTGAATGCATCTCCCCTGGGCAGCTGATGGCTCTGGAGCTGCTGGATCCCTCCCTCCCCAGCCAGCCTGGGGAAGGTGTCACCAAGCCAAGTTCTAGCAGAGGTTGTGGGCGTTCTCCAGGGAGGTTAATGCATTCAAGCTGTCAAAATATTCTTCCTGCTATTCACCCAGTTAACATGCCCTCTCTTTCTTTTGCCTGAAAAGGCATTTGCTATGGTATTCTATACGTGGTCTGTGTTCAAGATGTTACTGACAGCTGTTGTATGACTACAGGAAGGAAATTATGACTCCCTAATGATAACATGTCACGGCGTGTCTCTCTGCTTTTCTCCTCCTTTAGCTGTGCATTTCTCCTGCCAGTGTCTCCTCACTGCACACTTGCACTGGATTGTGGAGCAGTGACATGTGTGCCATGTGCTTTCTTTAAAAAAAAAGAGAATGTTCTGATTGCTTCTGCCTTGCCTTTAAATAACGTGAGTGAATTTTGTCCTGCTCTGCTCTGCTCTCGTGAGACCCCACCTGGGGCACTGTGCACAGTTCTGGGGTGCCCAGCAGAAAGAAGGATGTGGAACTACTACAGGGAGGGATTGGGGTGGCAGGACAAGGGGGAATGGCTTCAAACTGAAAGAGGGGAAATTTAGGTGGGATATTGGGAAGAAATCCTTCCCTGTGAGGGTGGGCAGGCCCTGGCACAGGTTGCCCAGAAAAGCTGTGGCTGCCCCTGGGTCTCTGGAAGTGTCCAAGGCCAGGTTGGACGGGACTTGGAGCAACCTGGGCTGGTGGAAGGTGTCCCTGCCCATGACAGGGGGTGGAATGAGATGAGCTTTTGGTTTCCTTCCAACCCAAACCATTCGGGGACTCCATGGAGCTGGTAGAGGAGATGGCCCCTGTGGGGACTTCTTGTGCTTTGGGATTCTTCACATCCCAACATCAGCATTGCCATCCAGCTCCCTGAGAGGTGGTGGAGCTGCAATATGCTCAGTTCAGCATCAGGCATTCAGGGTGAGGAATGTGCTTGTACTCAGTTTGTGCTGTCAGTTTAACTTCTTACGTAATTTTGAGGCTTTCCCCTGATAATCTCTGGAAGGGCTGGTGGCTGTTGGATAAGGAGCCTGCTAAACACATGGAGGTGACTGGTCTGGATGGGCCACCACAAGCCCCTCTCTGCTGTGTCTCATCTGTGATCCAACACCCCCAGCCTTTGCAGGGAATCTTGTCATGAATCTCTAATCAGAAGTGACCAAAAAAAAAAAAAAAGTCTTTTGCATCTGCTTTAAGGAACTTGCTGGAGTGACAAGTCTGTTTAACCTAGTTTTTAATTCCCTTGATATGGGAAAGTTTCTGTGCCCAGGCAGAAGGCCCAGAAGGGTTATGCATCATTTACAACCCAGTGTTCAAAGTGAGGGGCAAGATGGGGGCAGGTGGGAGTGAAAATGTAGGTTTATAATTCTCAGCTCAGCAGGAGCCACTGTTTTGTACAGGGGCAAAACCCAACTGATTAACAGCTTCTGGCAAGGGCAGGAGCTCCTGGTTCCCTCCTGCTTCCTGCTGGCACGACAGAGAAAGTGTCCTTTCAGTGTGCCAAGCCACAGCTCTTGTCTGAGTGTACCCTCTGCACACCTTCCAAGCCGTATCTGAAGGACTTTGGGAGGTTTTGGGGTCACCCAGGGAACCCAAGAGGTGTAATTTCACTCTGTGACACCTTGGTCCCTGCTGATTTCCCATTTAGGAGGTAGCTGTTTGTCTTTGAGGGATGTGCTGCTGCTGTTCAGTGTAAAAGTCTTCTGATGCCAGGCTGTTTTAAAGAGAAACCTAAAATATTTGATATCTGGAGATCATAGGCTCTGTGGGTAGTCAAACTGGGGTTCCTGGCATCATGAGTATCTTCCTGGGACTCAGGCAACACAGGGCTGGGTTCTGCTGAGCATCCCAGAGGGTACCTGAGCTGCTTGTTCTGTAGCATAGTCCTAAATGGAGAAATTCCCAAAGGGATCTGCTGTCATCTTCCTCCTGCAGGGTGATCCCAAATTCCTCTTCATTTGGGGCTCTCAGAGAGCTGAGACACTTGTCTTGCAAATTTTTTGAGTAGGACTTAGATTTTTAAAAGTCTTCACCATGGTGGCCTTCTAGAAGCACTTGAATTTGCTGTGGGATTCCTGGCCTCTGTGGGCTCTGAGCTGTACTGATTCCTGCAGGATTTCCCAGGTGGAAACTGCTGGACAACCCACTTTGTCTCCCAGAAGGGATTTTCATATTGCCTGGGGTATAAGAGCTTAAACTTGCAGGAGGGGAGAGCACAGTGTGGAAGTTGTTTCAGCACCTGGGAGCTGGGACAGCCATAAAAACCTGAACGAGCTGCACTCCCCGCTCTGTTGCTCAGGGTGGTATCTGTGGGAATGACTGGACGTCCTCATTTCCCCAGGACCCCCTTCCAACACGGGCAATATGCCACTTCTGTTTGAATTTAGGCAGCCACGAGAAAAACCAGAAATCGCCTTCCCATTGCCACGGGGGGTGGAATGGATGGGTGGAATCCGACTGTATGTAGGTGATTCCACAAGAACCCTGCATAGCACGAGCCTTATTTTGTAGGAATACATGTCTTTTTCCCACTGAAGGGAATAGTTTGACGTCCTGAAGGTTGGTTTCCTTTGGGACTGATGGCAGGAGTGGAGCAAAGGCAAGTTTTCCCTCTCTCTGCTGATAGACACGTGGTCGGTCACACGAGTAGAGTGAAGGGCACAGAGGGGTGTCTTTTTCAGCCTGTTTTGCCCAGAATAATGTAAATATTGCTCAGGTGGGTGGGGAGAAGAGCAGGGCTGCAGTGGGGCCGTGGCTGAGGAGCGGCAGCCACAGGAGGTCAGTGTTGCACCGTGGATGCGCCAGCGAAAAGTCAGCGCGGCCTTGGAGGAAAACTTGACCCAGGAGGGAAGTTAATTCCTCTGGGGCACTTCTGGGTAGTTTGCTGGACGCAGAAGCGAGCCAGTGTGTGTGGCAAAACGCGGTGCTGGTGAGGAACACACGCCTGGGAGGAGCGAGGATCTGCCACGAAGCGGGGAAGGAAAAGCGCCGGAGGAGCGCGGCGCGGATCTCACGCCTGGGAGCTGGGAGCAGACACTAGATGGCTTGGATCTGGATGGATCCTGAGAGCTGCAGGCTTTCACCTCCAAATCCTTGCCCTGCCTTTGGCCCGAGCGTTGCCCTTGCAGCCTCAGAGGGCTGCTGGAGGTTTTTGGGGCAGCTGGAGCGGAGCATCGCGGTGGCCGCGGCGCAGGTGGCCGGGTTTGTTGGCAGCTTCGCTCCACTTATCAAGGGGCTGAAAAGCCCTTCTATGCCTGCTCTCAAATCCCCTCTGCCTTGCAATTTATCCTCCCAGGGTGGTCCGGGGGGCAGGTTGGAGCAGGAGGCGTGAGGGGATGCTACTGTCAGGGCCGGGGCTGGCTGCTGAAAGGAGATTTGCATTCCAGGAGATTCCAAGATTTTCGACCAGCCACTGCCTTCCCCCAGGGCTCAGTGCTCTGAAACATGTTTTAGGGCCCAATTCCTAGGGAGCTCTGGCAGCTGTTTGATGTGGTGGCAGCGCTCTTAGAGAATGGCTGGGACAATGACAGAAGTGAAACTCGAATATTCTCCAGTAGGCTCTGTGGTTCCTTCATTAAAAACAGACAGATAAACAAACAAATTACAGCCCGTTATGAGCATGTCCTTCAGTTCCTCTTCAAACAGCTTTTTGCTGCTTTAAAAAGCCTTAAATAAGGACACAGCCTCCCCCAGTCCAGGCCATAAACTGTTGGATTTAAGCTTTCCTTGTGGCTCCAGGTCCGTTGCCTTTGCTGTCTTCTGACTGTCTGATGTGAGCTTTTAATTCGTTTGGCTTTTCCTGGTGAGAGGCTTCAGAACAAGATTCCTTGTGTGCAGCCTTTGATGTTACACCACAAAGAAACACCCCCCTTTTTCCCAAATGCTCTGCTGAACCCCCATTAAAAAAAAGGGGGGGGGGAAAAAGAGAAAAGTTTCGTGTAACTAGGTTGAGAGGAAGTGGGGTGACCCATGCAAATAGTTTTTGTGTGGCTTACAAAGGCTCAGATTCTATGGTGATGGGCTCAGCAAAGAGATCTGAACTCGTTTAGGCAGGGCTGGGCTGAGTTATCTTTGCACTGCACTGCCTGAAAGGCAGAGGATGCAGAGGGGTCCCTGCCAAGCCAGGCTGATACAGCCCAATATTTCCTGCCCAGCTGGCTGTCTCTTCTCACAAGTCTGCCCTGGTAACACTGATTTTCAAGAATGCAAAAGACCTGCAGCCCCCAGTCTTGAAACAAGAAGGTGAAACACCCTGTGGAAATTCAGCCGGAATTTTACTTCCCCTGAAAGTAGATAAATAACTGTTTTGCTTCATTGGACACTTAGTGACTCCTGCTTTGTTGACACCAAGCTGCTGATGTAAAACTCTGCCCTTGTTCTCCGTCCCTCACATCTCTGCACTGGGGGCACCTGGGATTCCTCCCCTTCTTAGTGCTGAGGGAGAGGGGAAAAACGATTTGTCTGCACCACAGGTTGAAACAAAGCCCTCTGTTTTTAAATTTGGTGCCTCTGCAGTCTGGATGGCTGACTGAGGGCGTGGGGCTTGGGGACTATTTTGTTTTCAGGCTGCAAGGCGGGGGGGGGCCCAAACAGAACAGGTGCCAGGGGGTGCAGCTTGTGAATCCTGAGCTTGGTGAAAGGGCTTTGTCACAAGTGGGTTTTTGGAGAGGAGAAACCTGTGCACTGACCCTTTTCAGTAGCATCTGATGCGTGCACCGTGATTAGAAAGAGTAAGGGAAGTTAAAAATAACCTGTGGAGGAGGCATTCTAATGAGCAATTATCATTCCTTTCCATTGACTTTTGCAGCAAGGCTCTCCATGTGTTTAGTCTTCTCGAAAGAACATGCCAGATGTTAGAGTGAGTGACTTGTTAAGTCCCTCAATACTACTCTCACTGGTGTTCTGAACCGTTGTCAGGGTGGGTTTGGTTTTTTTTTTTTTTTCTTCTTTTTTTCTGTAACTATTAAAATAATTGGACCCCGAACATTCTGACCTGATAAGGCGAAAGAATCTTGGCTGGCTTTTCCTTGAGGTCACGTTTGAGAGTAGAAAAACTCGGGGAGCGCTTGCCTGAACAAAGAAATGTTTCTGCATGCAAAGATGTTAAATAACTTAATCTGAGGTGGAATCATCTGGCTTCAGAAACCGTGCCTCCTGGCAAAAAAAAAAAAAAAAAAAAAAAAAAAAAAAAAAAAAAAAAAAAAAAAAAAAAATCTGACTTTTGCGTTTCAACATCCTGAACTTCAGTCTTCGAGGAAGCTTTTTGTGCTTGTGGGGGCTCTGCTGCTCTCCCCAAAGAGAGCTCTTTAGAAATGATTGACGACAAGGCCCGGTTCTACCTTGGCAAATATTTTTAATATGGGCAGAGCAAGGAGGAGAGCAGGCCTGGCTTTACAAAGCCACCAAAACCCCCCCTTTTTTTTCTTTTTTTTTTTTTTTGGTGTGTGTGTGTGTCTGTGTTTTCCTGCTCCTGTGTAGGAATCTTAATTGGATTAAAATACAAGTCTGTATATTGTGATTTTGCATGCCATGGATCCCCACCCTGTTGTTTTTAGCCACATTGGCCAAACTCAATGAAGTGCACGGTCGATGTTTGAGCTCTGCCTTTGGTGTCCCTCGGTTGGAGCTCATTAAGCATTCGGGGGAATAATAATTCTGGGACTTGAACTTTGATCTGAGGAATCTGGGAAAGAAAGGGCCGGAAATTGCAGCAGCCTGATTAGCTACCCCAAGTTGATCAACTTTTCTGCCAGATGCAGGCAGAGCTCCCAGAGGCTGGAAGACAATGGTGGGGGTGAGGCAGAGCCGCCTCTGCCGTGTTGTGTCTGCGCTCCCATCACATCCCATTACTGTCTCCAGTGCAGATGGCACTTTGAACCACTCCATACACCCCCAGCCAACCAGAGGCTTTGTCCAAAATATCTGCTTGGCAAAAAAAAAAAAAATTAAAAAAAAAATATATATTTAACCTTAAGTATTTGCTGATTTTCATGCGTCTGGGAGTCAGGGGGGTTCATCTGGGACTGGAAATGTTGAATTATCTTGAGAAAACTCATCCTTTCTCTCTGAGCTCTGTCTCGAGTCTGACTCTGTCCTGCTGAAATTCCCACAAGTCCAACATGAATTACAGCATGTGTCAGAGCAGTACTTCACTTCTTAGGAGGAGCTTTAGATTGGGGTATGAAACCTGCAGTGCTCACATTTGGAACAAGGCAGGGCTCGTCATGTGTTTTCATTTTCCCAAAAATACGGTGAGGATTTCAACTCCAATTCGAGTCCACGTTGTGACAACCTGGACCAGCTTCAGGGCTCTGCTGTGCCTGACTGGGAGTTTTCTGACACTGGGATTGAAAAATCCCAGCTGTAACAGAGAAGAGGGAACTCGAGTTGTTTCCCACCGAGCAGAGCTTGAGACTTGGCTATCTTTCTCCTTGTGAAGTCGATGTACCTGCCACCATCAGAATAACCCTGAATTATTGAACCCTCCATCTCTTGGAAAGCTTTGCTTGTTGCTGTTGCTTTCGCTTCAAACTTTGGACACTTTTGATTTCTGTCAAGAGACGCATCAAATGTCTACCTCAATAAATACCCACAAGCAACTGCTGCCTGCTGCCATGTTTCTGGATGCTTGGCCAGCTGGCAAAGGAGGAAATGGGATGTGGAGCTTTTCCAGGAAAGCTTCTGAGGAAGACAAATTTTTTTTTTTTTTTTCTTGTTCCTGCTAGAAATCAAATACTAAATATTGTAGTTGAAAACCCCAAATGGTTTGGGTTCCAGAAATAAGATGTCTTGGTGCTTTATGAGCTGCAGTTGTGATGTTTCTTGGTCCCTCTTCATCTGGGAGGCACTTTAGTCCTTCTCCTATCTCAGACACGGGGTGATCCAGTGGTCCATCACGTGGAAATGCACTCAGGATGTTTTCCAGGAGGAAAATCTCCCTGATGTTGTTTGAAAGAAAGTTTCCTTTTCAAATGAAAAACGTAATATATAATTCTGGCAAACTCCCACCCGCCTCCCATTGCAGACACTCCCTGTTATGGTTGTGTGTGTAGCATCAGAAACTGCCTTGAATATGGTTTTGGAAAGTGGATGTTGAGTGGCTGGGTCTCAGTTTTCATGATGGAGAGGTGTCTCCTTGTCAGAGAGCCAAACGCTCTGCCAAGATTCCCAGTGTTCTGTCCCTATATAAAGCTGAGGTTTAGTTTCAGGCGCAGCGACTGAGGAAGCTGACACTATTCCAACATGTTGTTCATATCCTGAAGTCTTTTAATTTCCCCTGGCTGCTGTTGCAACAGCCCCGTTTCGCTGAATAAATTAATCAGAACATAAGATTTGTTGAATATGAAGCCTCAAAAAAAACCCCCCCAGGTTCCACTTGTGACTTTGACAAAACCGTTATAGTGGGTGGTTAGTCATTATTTTTCCCCCTCTATGGGTGAAACAGTTACAAGAACCTCTGCTATTGTTGCTAGAAAAAGTGGCTTCCTGTGATATAAAGTAAATTTTTTTAAATAGGAAACATATGGCTGGTCCCTAACAACAAAGTAATATTCAGGTGCTGATGGCATATGCCTCCAGTCCTATTACAGGAAGCTATCTTGGAAATCTGGTGGCAGAGGCTTAGACACTAATTTTCAGGAAGTGGGGTTGGGAGGTGGGGGGATGGAACCTGAAACTGATATCAGAAATACATTTACATTTTTAATTTCGCTGGAAGTTCTTTGCTGTTCCTGCTTTAGAAGTCTCTGATATTCATTCCCTGGTAGCTACCATAAACAAATGCTGTGTGAGGTCTGTGCTGCTCTGTTTTAATTCTCATTTGAGGGGGGAAAAAAAAAACCCCTCGGTAAATTCATACTCTGAGAACTC